AAATGTATACACTAAAGAGGAACCTACAGACCAAAGCCCACTTACATGATACTGATAACTTAACCCCTTGCTTCAATGGGAATAAATATGCTCCATGTCTGATACTTGATATTTTGTGGTCCATGTGGAAATTCTATATGAAGTTATGAACTATTTGTTTGGTAATCATGACAAATCATGAAAATAATTATAATGGCACTAAATCTCATCCAAAGCTCTAACTTATCAGAAGTAAAAAAAAATTTACCATCATACAAATAAAATAATGAATTTAAATCTTAAACCTTTCTTAATTTTCCTTCATCCACAAACTTTCTTCGAGGTGCTTGCAAAGTAGAGTTCAATATTGATTTCGGAGAACTATCAGCATTCAGTGTATTAAGGTTTGGGCCATTGGGCTGCACATTTCTGCATGGAGGTGGTGGAGCAACACCTGACAACTACAATATAATGGGGAATGAAGGTAAGAATATTTCTTTATACAGAAAGTCCAAAGCAAACAAACTCAATGCACCCGGGCCCAGCCATAAAGATAATCAAAATACAGAACTCCACAGTAACTCAGCAAGTTTAAAACAACATAATAATGAAACTCCAGAATCAATTGTGACTTGGAACAAAGCATTTCACTTTATCATACCTGTGAAGCCATTGGAGAAGGAGTATTATAAAATGGCATGTTTGAAGTTCCACCATTTAAAGGCTGAGTGGCACCTCCACTCAGCACAGATGCTCCATGATAGTTACTGGGAACATCTCTAAGGTTATTGCTTTGCATGTTCTTCAATTGCCTCAGACTGATATCTTCTGAACTGAAGTTCTGAGAAGTAACAAGATTGCGATCCTCACTGGAAGTATGCAAGTTGGGGGAAGATGAAACATGATCTAAATACTGCTTTTGAATGCTAAGAGCAGCTACTTCTCCAAAAACTGTAGTTGCTTCATCAGCAGCATCTAAACAAGGAGAATAACTTAAACTGAGAAAAAAATACCAAAAAAAAAAAAAAAAGAAGAGCACCAATGACATTTAAGAATTGAATCACAGGGAAACAAAATGTAAACTCTGACTGCAATTGGATTGCATATGAGAAATAGATAAAAGAGTAACAATCTAGGACCCATTCAAGTGCTCTTCTTAATGGTTGAATTCCCTGAAAAAAAAAAATCTATGACTTATGTCGTTTCAGGGATTCTAACCAAGAATTAATCAGCCCCTGCAAACAGGCATTATGCCTGGGAGCTTTACACTAAATTGAAAACAGAACCATTCAAGTGTGCTTTATACAGACCTAACATGCATAACTCCTCATATGCTGCCCAAAGCAAAGGATCTATACCCAAAGCCAGCTTAAAATGATGGATAGCAGTTTTCCTTCTATCAGTATACCTGAAAAAAGATAACATCCAACTAAGAAAATCAGAATTGATTGAGTCTGACTTGGTCCAACACCCCAGTTGCAGAACAATAGAAAAGTAAAAAGTAATACACATAAGGAAAAAAAAAAAAATCCATCCCAAAATCATTAATCCACATTCAACTAGTTCATTGGCTAAGCTACACATTGTGTAAGAGTGAAATAAGGAACAGAACTCAACTCAAATTCATTGGGATTTCCGGAACTATCTTTGAAGAAAATGCCTAAGAAGATAATGACCAGCTGTAAAAACCATTTAAAATCATCTTAAAAATATGCAGAGGCAAAAACCACCTAAAATTATTTCAGGTAATCTTTTAATAACATCTCAAGCAGAATGTCAATTCCTTGCAGTTGTTAAGAAGGAAAAAACTTAAACCAACCTGTAAATCAGCCCAAGAAGATAATGACCAGCTGCACCATTTGGAATCTGTGAAAAGATCAGAAGTAATTAAAAAATTGTTCTCATCAGTAAGTGTCAACAAAACATACAAAAATAACAAAATATTGAACCTTGGCTATATGATAATAACCAAAAATTAAATCCATTACTCATTTTGCTCCCTCTTATCAAAACCTAGAATGATGACCTAGGACATTTTCCTTTGTTAGAAGTGATCTCATTTAACTAAACTTGATAAATGATTCTTGAGTTAAGTTTAAAGAAAATATCCTCTGATACCTCGGCATTAGGCTCATTAGCAGGACACAAAGCAGCCTCAGCTTCATTAAGTAGATCCATCTGAAAGCATGATATTGCAAACATGTAGCGGGATTGAGCCATCTGTGTACCTAACACGTAATAACACAAAAAAAAAAAAAAATTAAAGAAGAACAACAATGCAATGAACTACTCTCAATAAAGAAAAAGAAAAAAAAGAAAAAGAAAAACATGATTAAACAAGTTGAAACTGCCTAAAAGGTGAATATCACTGCAATATACATACCCTTTAAAATATGATATGCAGAGTATGCTTGATTGTTCTGCAAGTAGCATGCAGCTAATAGCTGCAAATTAATCTACACAAAAGGGAAAAAAAATTCTTAATGGGTCACTTAAAGTTTACTGTTTTATGTCCTAAGCTACCAAAAAGAAACTAAATTGTACATTCTGTAAGTAAAAAGAAGATATTATAAAGAGCAAACAACTAAAGAGGTACTATTTCCAAAATTTATATACTTCCAAGAACCATTGCATTGTGATAACTTCTAATTCCAGTAGCAATTAAAAGCAGAATTCAACCCTGTACTGACCCAACCATTGAACATATGAATACGGAACTTTACACGAATCAGAAGAGGCTAAAGCCAAATCTAACAAGAAAGGAGCACATGTACAAATAGAGAATAAAATCTGATGATCGATTCAACAGAACTTTCGATCTTGATGACTAACAACAATGTTCCTTACGGTTCTCAAGAAACAACATATACGAACATCCAAACAATAACATAATGCCCAAAGCAGAAAGCAAATTAAAATTTCCTTTTGCTTTTAGTTTCAAAAAGGGGAAAAACTATATTCGAAATGGGGAAAAGTTGAGATTTTCGTTTTTCTGAGTTGAAATCGAATACCTCGGAAGGAAACTCAGCGCAGAGGCGTTCGCAGAGGAAAATGGCGTTCTTGTACATGAAATGGCGGAGACTGTTCCGCACGCAGTCTGTGAGTATCGCTTCCATGGAGTTCTGCTTCTTCCTCTGAGACTGCGAGAGAAGAAGGAAAGAGAGAGAATGTGCCTTCTGGTCTTTTTCTCTTTTTAGGTTTCAAAATTTCAGTCGGCACGTGCTACCGGCTTGTTCAAATTGAGGCGGCACGTGACATTTTGCTGGGTACATTTAAATCCATGCACTCCCCTCAACTGTGGGCGGGGGTGATCGACTCTGGTGTTTTATGGGAAAGGAAAAGACACGTAAATAATAATGTTGATTTTGTATTTTTTTATTTAATACTATTAAGTTGGTCAATTTTTAAATAATTATATTAATTTTTTTATTTCTATTTAAAAATAATAATTTTAACTTTTTAATTTTTTTATATTTAAAAATATTATTTTTTTTTTGGTTGCATTGAGAAATTTGAATTTAATAAGTATAATTTAAATACATATATTTTAAGTACCTATTAAAATACACAATTTAGATAAATTAAATTCCTATGAATTTAAAGTTGAGCTAATATTAGTTCTTTTTATAGAGGCATTTTTATTAACACTTAATAGACAATTTTAATTACTTATGTCAATACTTTTATTTATCTCCTTCTATTTGAAGTACTGTATAAAAAAATTCAAAACATTAAACCTCAGTGAAGTAATTTATTTAATAGGTGGTGTGCAAAGAGAAAGAAAACTGTACTCTTTCAAGTCTCATCATCTCAAGATCCAAAATTTTTAAAATATCAACCAATAGTTCAATTGAATAAATTTAGTTAAAAACTTTGTCAATAATCACCCACAAAACAAAAATGACTTGAGAGAGTTAAGCACCTTGGTTGAAAATGAGTTTTGTTGCCCCTCCATTCTTGAACAAAATATGGAGCCCAACCAACTAAATATATGAAGTTGGAAGTTGGAAGTTAGAATAGGTCCATGCCTTTAAATACAAGCGTTAGTAAAGTGCGTGCTAATTAATTCTAAGAAAAAGAGGAGCAAAGTGAAGAGTGAAGGGGGGTGGCAAAGCAAATAGGTTGGTGGGAAAGGAGGTGCAATGACGCTGTGAGTTTATAACTATTCCTT